TTTTTCAGTACGTATAATAATAATATAACAATTAGCAGTTACCACATAGGCTGTAATACACTCAGTGATCCTCCGGCAGTAGTTTTTATACGGTAGTAATACTCGCAGGGATACATGCAGGTTTGTAATAACTGCTGTGTGGTCTGCCGACAGTAATTATTACACGACCAGTAATACCTCCAGTAATAACCACAAGTGTGTAATATTTATCATGTGATTCATCAGTAGTAACTACTACACGGGCAATAATACCTCCAGTAATAACTACACACCTGGCAGTTGGTCTTTTTCGTAAGGGAACACTCACTCGCTAACGTTCCGTCGAACTGTAAAGTCTCGGTTGCTATTGTACAAGTCTTTTCTAACTGTAAAGTCTCGGTTGCTATTGTACACGTCTTTTCTAAAATAAATATATTTAGTAAGATATCAAGAAACTTCTTATTGGCGAAACAACCATTTTTGTTCCCATAACTGGTGACCCCGAGTGGAAAATTGAATTTCCGGTACCATGCCCGGCGAACGATCGCCGACACGTGGCGATGAAGAAATCTTGTTGCAGGACGAGGCTTCCGGCGGAGAAGCAATCATAGGCAGACCGCAACTATCTCCGGCAACGACTAAGGCCACAACAGTACGCCCAGCACGCGAGGTTTCATGGGTCCACACCGCTCAAAAAGTTAAGTTACCTACACCTATATGGCGCGAGATGCCCGCACATTAGTTCAATGTGGTCGAAGCAACATTCGCGTTGAATCGAATTACGGGCGACGAAACTAAGTTCAGACACATACTTAGTAATTTAGACCCACAAACTATTCCTTTCGTTGCTGATCTGATTACCGATCCTCCAGGACTTAACAAATACGAAGCAATTAAGAAACGAATTATTGACACATTCGGCGAATTTCAAGAAACCAAACTCCGTAAACTCTTGCGTGACCAAGAGCGCGGAGACGACAAGCCATCTCATTATTTACAGCGATTGCGAAATTTAGCAGGCAGCAATTGCACAGATTCGGTAATTCGCAGTTTATTCCTCGAGCAGTTGCCGGAAGGCGCGCGGAGCATTCTAGCAGTCTCCCCGACGGAAGATTTAGACACGTTAGCGATTCAAGCCGACCGAATAATAGACGCGATTAAGCCGCAGGTATCCGCGATCCAAGCTAAAAACGACGCAAATAAAACCAGTAGCACGATTGAAGCAGAAATATGCGAACTACGACGTAAAGTAGAGAAACTATCAGCACAACTTAGAAGAAGCCGCTCCAAATCTCGAGGTAGAAATAGATACCGTAATCGATCCCAATCTAACAACGCAAATAAAACTGCCGGCAGGGGTGACTCGAACAATAACGTTATTTGTTATTACCACTCGCGGTTCAGCGATAAAGCCCACCAATGTTAAGAACCGTGCGCGTTTCTAAAAGAAGCTAAAGCACAGGAAAACTAGCAAGACCTAAAGGGTGGAGACGACCGCTACAGGTCTAGCGCGAAATCTGCGTCTCTTAATCACGGACAGAAAAACGGGTGTCTCCTTTTTGGTCGACACAGGATCTGATATATCGGTATTACCTAAAAGCTGGAAAAACAGGGATAGTAGCGCGGCTAATTTCTCACTTTACGCGGCGAACGGATCCAAAATCCACGTATACGGTAGCCGCGAGCTGGAGCTAAATCTAGGATTAAGACGTAGTTTTAATTGGAAATTTACGATCGCCGAAGTCGCTACGCCGCTATTGGGGGCCGACTTTTTATATCATTACAATCTACTAGACGACCTAAGAAACAAAAAACTTGTTGACGGACTGACGGATCTGAAGGTCGAGGGGAAAGTCACCAACATACGTACACAATCGGTATCTACCTTAAAACAACAGGACACGATCTATACACAAATACTAAAGGAATTTATCAACGTCACAAGACCATCACCCCAAAGAGTAAACAAACACAAGGTCGAACATCATATCGTGACTAACGGCTCACCGATTTCAGACCGCGCCAGGCGTTTACCACCGGAGAAATTAAAATTCGCTAAACAGGAAATAGAGAGCTGGATCAAAAACAGCGATTGTCAACCTGGAAGCGGACAATGGGCAAACGCGATGCACATGGTCGACAAGAAAGATGGCACGTGGCGAATTTGCGAAGACTACCGCCGACCTAACAAAATTAGAGTTCCAGATAGGTACCCAATCTCGCATTTGCAGGACTTTTCACACAAACTGCATGGTTTTACAATATTTAGCAGGCTTGACTTGACAAGAGCATACCATCAAATCCCAATGGCAGCAGGCGACAAAGAGAAAACAGCACTTATCACTCCTTTCGGACTATACGAATTTAATATCATGCCATTTGGACTCAGGAATGCGGCGCAAACTTTTCAACGCTTCAGGGACACTGTACTAAGAGAACTAGATTTTTGTTTTTGCTACATTGATGATATACTAATCGCTTCCAGATCGGAACCGGAACACCAACGAAGCAAGTACTACAGAAACTGAGGGAATACGGACTTAGTATCAACACTGAGAAGTGTGCCTTAGGACAAGCAGAAGTACAACAACTTGTGCAATAACTAGAGACGGCATTAAGCCATTAAAAAATAAAGTCGATGCAATACTTCGTATTCAGAAGCCACAAACAATTGAGCAATTACGCAGATTACTTGGCATGATAAATTTTTATAGACGGTTTTTACCATGGGCGGCGAAGATCCAGGCAACGTTGCATGTCCTCATTTCTGGAATACAGAAGAAAGACAAGCGACCTCTTCAATGGAACGAGCAAGCCGAAAAAGCAGTCGAAGAATGCAAGTCACAACTAGCAGAAGCTACGCTGTTAGCACATCCGGCAGAAGATGTCCCACTAATTCTGAGTACAGACGCATCAGACTACGCAATAGGAACCGTCCTGGAGCAAGAATACAACAGCAAGCGCTAACCACTGGGTTTATTCTCTAGGAAATTAAACAAGGCTCAAACAAAATACAGCGCCTACGATCGCGAGCTACTCGCGGTCTACAAAAGCATTAAGTTTTTCAGGTATATGGTCGAGGGACGCGAATTAGCAGTGCGCACCGATCAGAAACCATTAATCTACGTCTTACAACAAAAGCCCGAAAAGGCGTCACCACGCTAACTACGGCAACTAAGCTTTATTAGTCAATTCATCAACCGGCCCTGGCGGAAAAATTTCCACAAATTTAAAAAAAAAATTAAAATATTCTATGAAAAACTACAGAAAATAATGAGAAAATCTATGAAATTTTACACGATTTTAAAAAATACTAC